AATACTGAGGGGTGTGTGTGTGTGTGTGTGTGTGTGTGTGTGTGTGTGTGTGTGTGTGTAGAAGAGTGAAGAGCAGAAAGTAGAACTCAGAATAGAATGATTTAAAGAAAAGGGAAAGGAAAAGGGAAGTGATAAAGATACCACATATGGCAAGGGATTCAGAAAAGCTTATCTATTCAGAGAGGGGTTTCAGGGCATCATGCCTTAGTAGCCCCAATCCCTCTTCCATTCAGCTCTTGACAGGCCAGGTAGCAGGCCAGGTTTGTGAAAAGGTTGTGAAAATATTGGCATGAATTGATATCAAATGCCTCCCTTGGGAGATAAAGGCTTCATGATACAGAAGCTTGCTGGAAAAAGCAAGTGGATTCACATATTGGCTGGCCCCAGGTATCCCTCATCTGGAGAGTTGAAGATGAATGAGCTAATTGTTGGACAGCACGGTGCATCTCTTCAAGACCTTTTCTGTAAGTCCCCTTGAAGGACCCTCTCCCTGAGTCACCTTGTCAAGCCTGGTTTCCCCAAGTTACGGTGTTTCTATCCCATTGTCTACTTGTCAGTGGAGTGTTATGTTGTTCCCCATACATGCCTGTCTGGGTTTGGATGCATTGTTACTCATGTGATAACATTTTAGGGTGTTTCTTTTTCCAAAATGGATGATGCATTTAGCAAATGTTATAGATACAGGAGGTTTTAAGTGGGACTAAATGCAGCAATTAATGCTAATGTGTCTGCTGTTAGCATGTAATATTCTTGCTGTTATAAAATCACGCACCACTGAATGTGGAACCTCAGTTTGTTCAACAGATGCCGATCTTAATGGCCACATTCTTTTTCCCATGGATAAGTTAGCTTTAGTTAAATGTACCATTAAAAATAACCATTTAAAATGTTAATGGAAACTGTGACTGTAACTGCCAGGAAGTTTTATTTTAACCTCTGCTTCATTATTCCATATTTTCAAAAGGTCTTTGAGAAGGTGAGGAATGTGTTTTCCATATAGTGCTTCAAAAAGATGCTGTGTCTTCACAGCACACAGGCCTGTGCTATTAACATTAACCTTGTTTGGAGGCTTGTTTTCCTTTGTTCTCATCTCTTGTGTATTCAGGGTGTGAGGCAGAATTGGTTAATTGGGATTCTTGGTTATTCAGGTACTCAATAGTACCTTTATTCTATCATCCATTGTGACTAAGGGAGGAAAATACCAAGATGCTGTTATATAGAACGAGAACTCTTCATCTGTTAGAACAAGAAGCCTGGATAAGGTATGAGTTGTCTCTGGAAAATGGAATTTGTGAAGAACAAGACCTCAGTGTCTTTCTGGGTTGTATCACTCATTACACTCAGGACATAGTCTGAAAGCTGTTCTGGGCTGCAAGGCAAGAGTGATGAAAGTCTCCAGAACTTAACTGGCTTGATTAAGAGTCACCAGGAGGCTGGAGAGATGGCTCAGAGGTAAAGAGCACTGGTTGCTCTTTCAGAGAACCCTGGTTCAATTCCCAGCACCCACATGGCAGTTCACAGCTGTTTGTAACCTCATTTCCAGGGCATCCAACACTCTCACACAGTTGCTGGGTCTAAGCAACTGTGAAGAAAGTTTTGAGAGGTTGAATAGATCCAGAATGTATGTTTATGAGGCAATCTTTCTCTCTCACCCCTCCCCCTCCTTTCTTTCTTTTCTATTTGCTTTTTGAGTTGTAGTATTGTTTAACATAGGTTGTATCAAACTCCTTGTTTTCCTGCCTCCACTTCCCAAGGGCTAGAATTACAGGTCTGTACTTACAAAGTTGGCTTATAGTTCTCAGAACCCAACTATTTTGCATGTAGGCAATATCCCCATCTAGAAGCAATTCTTAGTCTTCTTGATTATGAGATTTTAATTTTTGTTGGTTTCCTTTCATTTAAGAATTTGCTCAAGCTGGGCATTGGTGATGCACACCTTTAATCCCAGCACAAAGAATCTATGTGAGTTTGGGGACAGCCTGGTCTACAGAACAAGTCCTAGGACTGGTTCCAAAGCAATACAGAGAAACCCTGTCTCAGAAAAAAAAGTTGCTCAAATATTACTCAAACTCCCTATAGTCTCCTGATGTAGTCTAGAAATTAAGAATTAAAATTAAAGCTCCATGGTATGGGTAGCCTAATTGTCTAAAAGCCAAAAGATAACAAGAACAGAGAGGCCTGTTCGTAGTCCAGGGACCTAGAGACTAACTTGCTACTGCCAGGGTCTCTGTGTAGAATCCATGAGACTTTACTGCATCTGCCTGATAGTGTCACATGTCTCACATAGGAGCTGCCCGGGGCTGTAACCTCAGTTTCTCTTCATCTAACATTTTCTTAATTATCGGATTTCTAGTCAGGTTTACACATGGTGTCTGTGTGTCCTTGTAGAATTGTCTTCTTTGAGTAGACAAAAACTCCGAAGTTGTTTGTTTGTTTTGCTGATTTTGTTTTGAGAAACAGAAGCTTTTTATCAGAAGGCCAATGAATCTCTTACTTACTTGGACATGGGAGACAGGCAAGGGTAAGAAGAGAAGACCCAGAATAATGCAAAATAAAGAGAAAATAGCTAAGTTTTCCTCTGTCTTTAGAAAAAATAAATATCACGATTTTGAAAACTCAAGAACTAGTCAGCAGTATCTTCTGGAGAATGGGTGGGTCTGTGAGAGTGGCCAGGTGAGGTGCTTTCTCCCAGTGTGTGTCCCAGAACACAATTCCTGGTTCTGAGACCTTTATCAGTTTGGTATGCTTTGACCAGGTAAAAGCTTTGATGAGTTCAAGACCAAAAGAATTTAAGAATAAAAGTGGAGAGAAGACCTTGCCCTACTCATGTTGACCTGTGATTGGCTTACCATGTTTTCCATGTGTTCTGTATGTGAGGGAAGGATCTACCATCTGCTTTGTTGACTTGGATTCAGAAATCTCCTAAAGTGATAATGTTACAGTGGCTGACAGAAACAAATTCCAGCCTTGTTTGAGGAATTGAACAATATTTGATCCTATTTTGACAATTGTTTTCTAAGCCCAAACTGTGGGTTTGACACCATGCTGTGTGTAAGAGAATCACAAATGTGATGAAGACCACTCCTTCCTTAGATCAGAGTGACAGACTAACTAACTCCCAGCTCCCATAGACTGTGCTAAACACGCTTTACAATAGGTGGATACAAAGAAAGCTGAAAAGGGGTAAATCACAGAATTTCTTCTGAGCTCATGGTGATCACAAAGACTCAAGAAGGTGTTAGCTTTCAAACCCTGGCATTCCTGTGTATTAATGGGAAAAATTCTCAAGGCATCTGAGAAAGACTCCAAATGATTTTTATAAAAGTGGGTAATACAGAGTAAAAATGCTTGGATGGATTCTGTCCCCAGGTTCTGGATTCCTTAAGGTCTCCCAAGGGACAGTCATTGTTTTTTCTTTGTTTCTGATATTGGCCCCTTTAGGGCACACCTGGTGGTAGTTCATATGGAGGATGACCATATGAGGAAGCTCGGCTTAGCACTGTGGTATTTAGGCCAGCAATGTTTTATATCAGCCTGACCTCTGGACACAGAAAGGGGTTGGAGGCTGCATTCTAGCATGTGTGCAATGAGCAACCCACCATGCCTATGGGATCAATTCTCAGAGGAATAGCAAAATATACTTTGGACACTTAAACTCAGTTGACATTCTCTGGTTAAAAATAGGTCTATATGCTAAATGCCTCTCACTGTATGAGCATAATCAATGAGCCTTCATATGCAGGACTCCACCCCAGCCCTTCCCTTTGACTGCTTCTCTGTGTACTGTTCTGCAATAATGAAACCCCGAGTCAATGCTTTCCTGAGTCCATCAAGTCATTCTTGCTTACTCCCGAGCATGGAGATGCTGCCAGAACCACTCGTCCCCATTGTGGTGTATGTAGTCAGATGATGACAACGAGAGGCTAGCATACTGTCACAATCTTATCGCTCATACATGAATTTGATAAACATATAGAAGAAGGGCATTTTCTGATATTTGTTTGTTTTTGAGACAGGGTTTCACTCTGTAGACCAGATCAGCCTGGAACTCAGACATCCACCTGCCTCTGCCTCAAGTGCTGGGATTAAAAGGAAACACTGCCACCACCTGGGTTTGTTTTTATTTTAAGTGAAATTCAAATATGTAGAGACAGGGTCTCTCTGCTGTCTCCTTGAACCACAGGGCAAAAGAGAATACATTTCTTCTTTCTTTCCATTTAATGAGAGCAAAACACACAGGCTCACTTTTTCACTCTGCCTGTGAAGGAGCGGAGTTAGGACCAGTTCTCTGGTTCTCTTGAATGTGTTTCAGACCTGATTGGACTACTAGGAATAAACTCTGGACCCTCTTGGCCATTTCTGAGAGACTGTTAGCCACCATCAATTTCTTCTATTGTGGGCTTCTTGGTTCTTTTTTTTTCTGTCTCTCTTTCTAATTGCTGTCTGTCCTGAGCAATGATCTAAGGATTCTGTGAAGCTTTTGAGACTACTTTGTGAAGCTAACTTTCAGCAAGAGTGGAGAGCATACTGTATTTTCACAGGTAGAAATAACAGTCAACCTTGGGAGGTAACTTAGGGTCTCATTCAGACTAACCCTAGAGACGACTGCAGAACTGGAGATGCTCACAGAAGGACATGATGTGCTCTTGGTGTCATCTCCCAAAGACCATTCAAGTTCTCACTCAGGAGCTAGTCAGCACTTCCTCCTTTGCAGCTCACATTTTTCCTATTAGCTCTAAAGGAAGACAGAGGAAAACAAAATACAGGGACTTTCTTGGTTTCCTCTCAGGAAAAGACAATTACGGTAAATAGCACATTCACGTCTACAGAGGGAACACTGACAGAAAGCCTTGCAGCGATTTTCCAGTGTTTTGTCTACCTTCTCCCTCTCTTGATGTTTGCTATCGTTGGCTTCATTTCCCGAGCTCGTCACTAAAACCTCTGAGAAACAGCGCAGCCAACCACAAGATCACTTGGACTCACATCAACCAAGACACATCTCCTTTTCACGTTTATTTCATTTTGCTTTAAGATCACAGAAGAGCAGAGCATTCATACGTGTAAAGTAACAGAAGAAGGAACCAGAATTTAAATACATTTAAAAAGAAAAAAAGGCTTTTTTTAATTTTAATTTTTTAACACACATCGCGCTTTTATAACTTTCCTTCACAGAGCTAGTATTTAGGGAAAAATATCCACCCAATAAACTAAAATAAAATAACTTGAGCAATAAAACAACCAAAACTAAAAAAAAATGGCCATGTGTTTGTATCTTCAAGGGAAGATCAGTTCATGTCTACAGGGCTGGAAAAAGGAATATATTTTATATATATATTTATATGTATATAACACTGTTAATGAGTAGACTTCTAACCAAGGACTGTATTTATACAACCTTCAGGAGAGCAATGGAAAGGGAGGGGTGAAGCAGGGCTGGGGAGAAGGTGGAGGTCTGTAACCCTCCCCCTTGCTATTTCCTCCCTTAATCCTCCCCCCTCCCAGCAAATATTTAGGAAGCAGAACTTGGCCAAAGTTCACCAGGATGAGTTCATTCTCTGGGGAGAGCAAAGACTTAGGTAAGTGGGTTCAAAGAGGCTCCTGACGGATGGTGAGGGCAGCTGTGGCACGCCAGGAAGCTAACTAGCTCCGTGGGTTTTCTTCATTTGCAAGAAGCAGATTTTTACTGTGCCTAGATTTACACAGGAAGGGTTTGTGTCTAGAAGAGTGTAGCTGCAGGGTGGACTCACTAGCACCATCCAAATGCTGTGCCTTGGTAACAGGGATGGAACTGAGAAGGTGTTTGATGGGTGGGTCTCTCTCCCACTTACAGAGTGTCCTGAGTACAGTAAGCCCATTTAGCATACTCATCTAAAGTGACACTAATGCTTTAAGTGATGAATAAACTCTGCTCTTCGGTGTCCAGGAGACCCCCATTCCGTGTGCTCTTTGGGAAGATTCATGAAAAGGTAACTGGACAGGTGCTAAGCTGAATATTGAAGACAGAGTGGGACGGACATGTGGACCTGTGCTGAACTTGCCCAGTATGTGACCCAACAGAACAACCCCTTGTTTACTGTTCCAAGCTGCCATTCTTGCCTGACCCCCTTATCTGGAAACTTAACTTTCACATTTGGTTTGAGCTTTTACAACCCTCACTCCCTTCAACCATGCCTCCTATTAGGCTTTTGTGTCTTATTTCCATGCAGATCTGCTATAAACGGTCACAATTCGAACTATTAAAAAAATGAGGCCTCTCTGTCCACTTGCTTGATTTCACAGCCTGTTAGTCAAGTTTCAGGAAGTTTCTGTAAGAAACCCCTTCCCTTGCCTGTTTGTCACAAAATAGCCTTCGGAACTTGCTTGGGACCAGACGAGAATTTCCAATGACACACATTTACCACGATGAAGCACTTGGCCCAGGATGAAAGAAAGCTAATGTTTCCTCTCAAATGTGCAACTTCCTCATTTGTTACGTACATAGTGCCCAAGCTGACCATTTTTCGTCCTATGAAAAGTTATTAGGCTACAGTTCAACAGTCACATTTCCCAATATCGTGAACGAGGAAGCTACCTCAGCTATTTTGATGCCTTCACTTTAAAATGAAAATGTCCTTCCTCTGCATCTCTAAGAAATTTTGCTCAGAAGAGAAATAATGGAATCAGCCTAGAGACTGCGTTCTAGAAGATGCTTTGTTGTGGAGGATAGTTTTGAGAGGAAACCCGAGACCAGCAAATGGCTCTGTGAGGGTCCTCACGTGGGTGGCAAAACTTGATGAATTTTCAATTCATATTCAGAATCAGAGAGTTTAGAGGTGGGGGAGCTTATGAAATGTCATTTAAATTCTCTACCTTTGGAATGAGAAAATTAAAATCTCAGGAATGTGAGATAAGTTGCCAACGTCAATATCACATGTCATTTGGTGTGGAGAGACCCAGAACAACGACCCAAATTTCTTGACTCCAATCCTGAGGCCTTTTGTCTTAGGTGGACAAGGGTAAGCCTGTCATCAACGTGACCCAAATTTCCTTCTAGAAAATTCTTGTCTGACATCCCTATAACCTCTTTGATGACTCTCTGAGTTCTGATTAGAGGAATGGTGTACAGGACACTCTCCTAAAATCAGCAGATACTTCAGAAAGGCTGAGAGGTAAAACCTGTGAGTAGCACTCCCTATTCAAAGGACCCTATGACTTCTTTATAACACCTAGGCATGTAGATATATGGGGCTACCAGAGGATATGAATATATATATATATATATATGGAAGCTTCAGCAAGATATTTCTCAAGGATATAACATATTTCTTGGATCACATAATTTATTCAAATTAGGATGACAAAGATGTATTATGAGTGCGGTTAAGTGTAAAATAAAAAAGTAAAAGGATGGGGGGGAGTGTGTGACAATTTGTTCATGTAATTATCGGTGAATCAGGCAGAGCTATTTAACTAAACATACAATAAAATATATATCACTGCCAAGAAACCAGTAACCTGGAGCACAGGAGCCCTTAACAGCCTATTCCTCTTTCATCCATTTGTTTTCCTGGATTTGGTTGGGTCAGGCTAAGGAATCTTCAGTGAGGCAGAAGGAACTAAGGAGAATCATTTGTATGCACTTGGCTGGAACTGCCACTAAGTGTTCTGGGTGTCTGCTTCCTTTGGCTAAGGAAACCATGCTTGGAACTCAGTTTTTCTTCTTGACCTTTGACCTGTGAAAAGCTTTGGCTTTTCTCCCTCTTATTTGACTTCTTTTTCTTTAAGATTTATATGTTTAGATGAACTTGGGCTCTGCATAGAAAATGAAGTTTACAGAGTTTATATTATGTATATAAACTAGTGATTTACATTGATTTACACATGATTGGTGCCTAATTTATTAATCAGCACAGTATGCAAATGCGCTGACGAGAAATCAGGATTTTAAAATAAGTTTTCCACAATATCCATAAACATTTCGCTGGCGTGAATGCTAAACCTAAACCTAATATTAACACTGGCAGCCTTGCCAAGACAAAGTGATATACATTGCGGGCAAAACACAAATTCTTTCTTGAGGTTCAGTTGGTGACATTTGAACAGCATAGCTAAATGCAAACGATAATGGTTTACTTTTCTTCCCAGTGGTACGCACGTAAATGTGAACTTCATTTTGCATCTAGTGAGATGTTTACAGATATGATGTCAACCATAATGGGGAATTTACATCACTTGGGCAGACTGAGTCTCTGGAGGAGACACATTTTTAAATACTTAAGCAAGAAGGAGACTTCCTGAAGTAGGTTTGTGTTTCTTAACTTTGGGTCCATCTCATAATTTTTTATGGTATGTTTATTTGTCATCAGACTTTTAATAGCTTTTTATGTCAGAAATAATATTACATTTACATTGTTATAAAAATTGGTAGTTTTCAGGGGGAACCGGGAATGAATCTAAGCTGAGAATTTGTTAAGAATGAGGAAAAACATGATGGCCTTATAGGCAAAATTCTTTTAAACAAATGATATCAAGGAGGGTGAAAGGGGACCTGTATCTTTCCAAATGAGGCATAGTTCCTTTTTTTTAAATAAACCAAATTAAACACCTCTCTTCCTTTTAAGTTTAGACCATTGTTCTAAATTTTTCTTATAATACATCCATTATTGTAAATATATCATTTGTAAAGATAAGATTTAAAACAATACATACACATATATATTATTATTTTGCACAAAAATCCAAAGTCTATAAAGAACAAAATGAAAAATTTAGGGAGACTAGCCAATAGAAGCTGTCACATTGTCGCCAGCTCAAAGACGACCCCCTGACTGTGGGCTGAGAAGTAAGAACGTAAAGCAGTTTCATGCTGAGGAGTTTAGTTTCTGTAGGCAGAGGAGGTAAAGTCCATCTTTGGAGGCAAAACATACTTTTGTTTTTTCCTCCAAGAACGTGAAAATCACGAGTATTGTTACAAGGTCTCTTTGAATAGCCCCAGTTTCTATGAAGTGAAAGGAAAAAAAATGTCCATGATGATAAGGGGAAAAAATGCCTGTCTGACTTGGAAGAGGAGGCAAGAGCCAAGAGGAAAGTCCTGAACAGAAAACACATCTATTTTCCCATAAGCTTTCATCCTTTCTAGACAAGACAACTTCACAAGAACACCATTCCTCCCACTAGGCAAAGTTGTTGAATTCAGGATATTTCTCCTTCTTTGAGGCCTGTCCTGAGTCAAGGTCATTTATACTTTTTTTAACTGAAGTCTGAGGCTAAAGATTTTGTTTTGTGAATGGTGTAAGTTCACTTTTTACATAAAGTCTATGAAATACATGAGTGGTTCCAATAACAGGTGCATTCCACTCCTTACTACCTACTATTTCCAATCACTTATTTGTCTTCAGTAACATGATTACCAACAAATGAGATCTCTGGAGGGATTTATAGTAATGTGATGAATTTTTCTGTTGAATGTATGGCATTTGGGGGTAGGTCCTTCGACCTTATCATGATTATAATCTTGCTTCAGAGAACCTTGTCCTGGTTGTCCATATGACTTAGCATTTCTCAAACCTATGTGGTGTATGAGGCCCAGGGTTTTTCCACAGGAAAGAGAAAATTTGTAAAAATCTCAGATCTTGAAGTAGGCATGGGCAAACAACACATTTAAAAGTATCTTTAGCTGTTTACTTTATCGTCCTTTATAATAAAACCAAAATAACAAATGGTGTAGACATGATCAGGAATTCTTCCCAAAGGAAAGACTCCTCCCAGAAAACCAAGAGTTTGTCCTTATAATGGGAAGGAGACACTGAAGACCAAGTGTGTGATTAAATAAAGCCTGTGATATGTCACAGGCATCTATTTCTGAAACTATTCCTATACAATGCTGAATTAACTCCTTTCTCCCTTCTATCTAGACTACTATGCACACTTCTAAGGTTTTACTTAAGGATGTGAATGCCTCTTTAACATGGGAAACAGTTAAAGGTTCTTGTACAAAGAGGACCAGACTGCTAGAGAAATCCTTGATTGCCAATATATCATATTGGACTATGGCACATCTTCCCTGTGTTGTAATAGCTATGTTCTCAGATAAGAATTAATATCCTATTTCTTAATATTTCATAAATCCTCTTACCCATCCTAAGCTGTGTCTTCTCTCTGTTTCATGCGATAATTGTGAAACCATGAAAAAGGATGTGACAGGTTTATAAGCTAAATGAAGTGATTCAATTAAAGAAATATTAAATACTGCTCAAATTCCTCTTGTTCTTCCTTTATTCCTCCCTCCTCCCTCTTCCTCCTTTCATTTCTTTCCTTCCTTCTTTCCATTTATTTTGTGTCATGTGACAGTCATTTCAAAGGTTAGAAAGCTTGACGATCTACTACATCTGGCTCTGTGAGATAACATCACATTATGGCCTCAGCAATAATTCTCCATCCTTTTCTATGGTGAATTGCTTTGGATGCCTCTATAGTCTAAGAGAAAGCTATGGGTGGTTTCCTACCAAAGACACCCACATGCAGAGAGGCAGCCTTCCCTGGAAGACCTCCACTAGGAAAATATAGCTGGTGATGGAATGGTGCTGAGTGTTAGGATGCTCACACAACTTCTGCCTGAATTTATCACAAGCTGCTCAGATCTTATGGTTAAGCAATTAGATCAGGTTTCATTGTTAGTGTCAAGGTGACTCTCACAGATGTAAGTCTAAATAGAGTAGAGAAGGTGAACAGTCTGCACACTAGTGGTCGGGCTTTCAGATACTAAGTAGCCTCCATGGGCAGTGGTGCCACACACATCATCATTGGAGCAGGAACCTAACAAAGCATTAGTCTAGAACTCAAGGATGATGTCCATAAAGGAGAGCAAAGACTGGAATTCTTATTTTGTGATGGTCTGCACTTTGCATTAGATGTTTGGCAGCCTCTACAGAAGGGACTTGGGCATCTATCTGCTTTTTCATGTCTCACAATCTTTTGTCTAAGAGGCAACAGTCCCCACTGAAGGGAATTAAGGGACAAATGCAGTGGTATCTGAGGATTAGTGAGGGGACAAAGCAGGCCTGCTTTCCCTCGGGAGTTACCACTCAGAGACCTTCTTGTTTCTGGAGAACTGCTCAATAAATGTCACTCGCTTCTGTAGTGGGTCTCAAATGCATGAGTCCCCTAGGCTTGTAAAGTTAGAGTGATATCAGAAACCATCTTCTTCCCCTAGGTCACGTCATCCCGGCCATGGATCTGTTCCCCGTCTGTTCACCCCAATGATAGTAGGCACTTTCATTTACAGTGATATTCTGAGTGACTCCGGACTGGGTTTTGAAAATGGGACTAGGAGGAGTATGGGGTCCTGCCCACAGAAAGAGCACAGCTTGGTTTGAATGCACACTGATGTTATGTGACCGCCATGAATGGGGGGAGGGATTCTGCTCCTTGCCTCCCACCCAGCCATCTCTCCCAGCAACTTATTACAGCCGCACCTCACAATTACAATGCATGACAGTATCTACAGCACAATGAGTCTATGTACACATGGACCATTCCCTTGGCATGCTTTAGAGAGAGACACATACACGCTCACACACATGTACACCTACGTGAGAGCCAGAGACTTGAGCACACACGCGCACAGTGAAGAAAACGAAGATGGCACTTCCTAGCATTTGCGGCATGACTAGTGTTCTGGGTTGCTGGGGCAAGGAGAGATGGGAGTAGAGAAAAAGGGAATATTTGGAATGGATGTGGTGGGGATAGAACACACTGGAGGGAAAGGAAGCGTTCTCAAAAGTCAGAGAGATGGTGGAGGCAGGGGAGCCTGAGAAAGGCTCTCACAGGCCTCCTCTGATAGTCCAAAATGGCTACACATCAGCTCAAATGAAAAACAGAATAAAAAGACCATGGAAATATAAACACCAAAGGCAAGACCTTCTTTTTTCCCCCACAGATGAAAATGGATGAAGGAAGGATAAAGTGTGCGTGGGGGAGTTAACATCCATCTGATACTTCTTGAGTAGTCTCATTTGTACAACATCAGACGTCTTTAGCGCTATGGACTCTTGACACAGCAGTCATTTGCTTAGAAGATAGACACATATTCTGGTAGAGGTTTCCCCACCCTAAATTATGCTCAGATTTTTATTTATGGATCTTAAAATTATTTTTAGTGGTGTATTTTCTTCATTTTCATATTCCCCCTTCATTTATAAACACACAAACTTGTGAAATAATAGTTTTCCCCCATTTTGCACTCTCTCTCTCTCTCTCTCTGTATCTGTGTGACACATTTTTGTGTGTTTTGTGATTATTTTTAACTTTTTATTCTATTAGCATTTGCTGAGAAGGCAGAGCAGGGACGCTGCCAGCAGCCACAGTGGTACGGCCAGACTGATGGACCCGTTGATTCCTCTCACCGACCCAGGTCCTGCAGAACAAAAGAGAGAAAGACAGGATGAGCATCTTCTGTCAGGTCCACTTGACAGCTGAATAAAGCTGGCATCAGAGACTAGGCGTGGCCAGGTACTGATGTCCAGCTGCCCATACTCGTGATGGCTCCCATCTTCTAAGTCCCAATCTGTCTGAGGTACAAGTATGTGAAGGTGTCTAGTGTATTTTGAATATGAAACAGCTCCTGCTTGCGAAGCTGCTAAGGTGGCTGTCATGACTCTGTTGAGCCACCTTCCTTTCCCGTGCTCTCTGCATGATTATTGTGAAGCCAATACTGATTAAGATTCCAAACACGGGTGTGGATCCTCCAGGAGCCCAATACAGGCTCTCCCTGCAGACTCATCACAGCAGCTCCATCAATCTCAGATGGGATCAGTCATCAGTCTCTGATTTCTTTTTCATAGGGAAGAGGCAGGATTATTTTTGTTTTCTTTAACACGGGGGCAACTATTACAAAGTAGTGTTTATGCATGGATGGTACCTTAGCAAGATAAAAACAAACAAACAAACAAACAAAAAATGCCCTAGAGTCTTACGAAGAAACAGAGCTCCTCCTACCTAAAACAAAGGCAAAGACAAGAAAATCAACCAAACTGGTGAGGCTCGGCTTCCAACCTGGGGTGACTGAGAAAGATCTGACATGGAACCGATCCTGGAATGACATTCTGGGTCACTCGCATGGCCAGTGGGAACAGAATGTGGGGGATATGGGTTTGTGTTTGAAGTGACCGTGGGTTGAGAGGAGAGGGATGGAGGTCTGTGAGGCATAGTATGAGTAATGCTGAGGCAGAAGTTGCAGCTCTGGTTTAGAGCTCATCACACATGCTTCTAGTTACATTTCCTCCTGTGTAGCTGTGGTCATATTTCACTGAAATAAAAATTTAAAAAAGAGATTTAATTCCAGAAGAGACTTTGGTTTTAAGGCTATATACTTAGATGATATTCAAAATAGAAACTGATATGACTATAATTATCGGTCACTTTGAAAATTTATGGGCATATATAAGGGTTTGTGTGAGTAAGTGTGCACATGTGTGTGAAACTGATGGTATACTTCTGCAATGGAAGCGTCTTCTGATATATGACTTTTCACCAAACTGTTCAGGGTGTATAGCATGGAAACATGCTGAATTCAAGAATGGTTTCCCAATCTACGCTCTGTGTAAACAGCAAAAATAATAATAACAATAAAACAAAACTAACAAAGAGCTGTACAAGCCCACAATGTTTTGTGATATGTTTTGTAAATAAAACTATAAATATAGGTGCACAACTGCGTGCTTACTCTAACAAAAAAAACCCTTGTTTCCCAGTGAAATATCTAAGGAACAGAGAGAGACATTACATCCACAGTACACATTCCCACGGCTCATCAGGAGGGAGGGCTGCACAATTAGCCTCAGTGTCTATCTCTAGAGCCTTTGTCACCACCACATGGTGACTTTCAACAGTGAAAACAGCAGTGAGTGTCATGGTCAGACATTTGATGAGTGAAACTCGAACTGGTCAAAACAATGGTTAGTTCAGACAAAAACAACAAGAAGATGCAGACAGTACCAGAGAGAGAGAGAGAGACAGAGAGAGAGAGAGAGAGAGAGACAGAGAGAGAGAGAGACAGAGAGAGAGAGAGAGACAGAGAGAGAGAGAGAGACAGAGAGAGAGAGAGAGACAGAGAGAGAGAGAGAGACAGAGAGAGAGAGAGAGAGAGAGAGAGAGAGAGAGAGAGAGAGAGAGAGAGAGAGAGAGAGAGAGAGAGAATGCCTGGTACAGTGCCACAGAATATCTCTTAATGTGACAATAGGAGCATATGCAAACTTCTAGCCTTTCGTTTATGCAGAATAAGCTTTGTGTGGTATAAAGCCATGGAAACAGAAGAAAAAAGTTAAATATACACCAACTCTAGTCAAACAACTCATTCTGTGATTTCCTGAATGCCTATGGTGTCATATTAATAAGAGGCATTCTGATCACCTTCAGGTGCAGCCTCATGAGGGTTGAGGTTTGAAGCACCTGTAGGGACTGTTCACCAGCCTCTGGTGTCTAGGCATCCTGAGACTTCACACACTGTCTGCTTTGACCTCCTCCTGTCCTCCACCAAGATTTCTGGGTGTTTGGGACTGTCAACCTCCCAGGGCTTCTGCCTTGGTAGTAATCTTTCTTCTCCTATCTTTTTAGCGACTGTCTCTATATTAGGAATATACTCTTCCTGGCACATTTGTCTGTATTTATATACCAGCTAGGCTTTCAGCATAGAGGAAAACTATAAAAAATTAAAATATTATACACAAAAATGATTTCTGTTTTGCTCTAGGGATAGTGTGAAATGGATTCTTTAAAAAAAAGCACAATTTTCTTTTTTTCTGTAATCTCATTTTTAGTGCCAGGACAGGCTACATTGTCTTTCTGACATCTTGGAAATGAGTAGTGTCTATTGACAGCTATGAAAACTGGTCTTATCATTTTATTCAAATGTGGGAAATACTTAAGATGGCAAGCGTTCTGTTATAGAGAAACATAATATATACTCTGAGCAAGCTAGATAAACACGTTAAAGTCAATATTCTTGCTAATGCATTTGCATGCCTAGCTATGTGTTAAATCTATCCATCCATACACACACATTCTGTATAGATACTTATGCATACATGCATGATATATGTAATATTACTGGTCTTTTGAAATGCATAATACAAAATTACCTTTTACTTTCATATGCTGCTCTGTGTTATAATAGGAATCTGTACACTATGCATGCTGATTGTTTTTTCACTGTACTACTGCAAGTCTTATTACACAACTGAAATGCATTGTATACATCTGATAAAGATACCTTTGCCTCTACCAATTATTATTTATTAAGTTCTCTCATGAAGCTATTTAATGTGCTTATGTGTCATAATTGATTTTTGAGAGAAAATAAACCGAATTGAGGAAGACTGTAAATGGGTATCAGTTGGGGAATTATCACAAGTTAGGTATGCAATTATAGATGCATATGACTACATAGGAGACTACTCCAGTTAATGTCTAGTTCAGGGAAGAATAATCCATAAAATCATTAATTATGTTTTAGTTCATGGTTATGAAATTCTGCTTATTTGTTGATATGCAAATGATAATTTTCAGTTCCAGTGCCAGATGGCCATACTCAGCAACTGCTTTCATATACTGACAGATATAATGAAAGCACAAGTTTGAAAACATAGCTTAGCCATACAAATAGATAGGCAACTAGGAATTCAAAGGCTTTTTTAAAACATGTTTTTCATATCACAGGCTACAGTTACACCATGGTATTTAAACATTTTCTATATGATATTTCTGGCATTTGGTAAATTTTCCCTATAGTATTCACAAGGCAGATATTTTGCTTTCAGAAATAAATGGAATACCAGTCCAAATCAAAGATGTTTAAGAATTGGATCAGACTTAAAGAAAAACAAGCCAATCTGTCTGTCTGTCTGTCTGTCTGTCTATCAACTATCTATCATTGTGTGTGTGTGTGTGTGTGTGTATGTGAGTGTGTGTGTGTGTTTGTGTGTGTGTATGTGAGTGTGTGTGTGTATGTGAGTGTGTGTGTGTTTGTGTGTGTGTGTATGTGAGTGTGTGTGTATGTGAGTGTGTGTGTGTTTGTGTGTGTGTGTGTGTGTGTGTGTGTGCCTATTTGCATGACATGGCATGTCTGTGGTCAGAGGATAGCTAATGGCAGTCAATTCTCCTTTTGGCCCATGTGACACCCAAGGACCAAAATCAGGTCCTTAGTCAGAAGGTGACTTTACCTACCAAGCCACTGAGCTTGTACTGACTTGGGGTTGTCACTCAGGTGAACGTGAGACTGTATCAAGGTGAATTCTACAGTGGACATTGTCGTGACCATGTTTCTAAAAGGATAGAACCTGTAATTCACTGCAAAGTTTATTAAATATCCTGAATTGAAGAAACTTTTTGGCAAGTTTCTCTCTGTTGTAGGATTCTGAGCTCATCACTTTTCCTTTTAGTAAAGTCTCACAGAGCAGGCAAAGTATTTTCTTCAAACACCTATTTTAGAGATGCTTTTTAATTCACAGGGCAGTGGTTTCCTTTTGTTTTTCCATTGTGACCAGATTTATTCAAAGTCATCTGTGATCACATCAGCAGCTATCCCTGGCTGTCAGTTTCAGGCAGTAGGACTGGAGTCAATCTCAGTTTGTGCTTCAATTATACAAAAAGAGAAAATTACTTTTGGATTGTTCTTCAACAATTGGTGGAATGACTAGAGTAAAGCAAAGACAAACTCTAAGCAATTTATAAAAAAATGCTGAAAAATGGAGATCAATAATCTGCAGAATCATCAAAACAGAAGTTCTGTGTTTTCTACAAGGGCTGGGGAAGGTGCTTTGGTGACCTGGGAAGTCATGTTGAAGGCAAGTATGATAACATTGTCTCTGGTGCCACCTGCTGTCCATCTACTGCTAGTACAGATTCCTCTGCGTGATGGTTGAATTGGGGAAGAGATAACATTGGTTTTGAATACTATACCTTAAATGCAGGCTCTTCCTGCATTCACTTTCTGTCTTTACCCTTTAGAAAGCGAGATTTTAGTCAGCTGAAGCTGTCTTTCTCCTCAAATCAGGTGTGCTGGTGCACAATTGGGAAGTAGAGGCAGGAGGACAAGGAGTTTATGACCAGCTTCGACATACCAGTTTAAGGCCAGCCTGAAATATGCTAGACTCTGACCCCGCCCCCCCAAAAGACAAACAAAACAAAACAAAAGCCAGAGTAAAGCAAATGAATCCAAACCAGAAAGCAATATCAAGTACTTTCATACACCGTTTATGAAAAACTTAGTTACCATTTATAGACACACTGATATTTTATTATGATGATATTTGAATAAGAAAAAACTATGCCTTATTCATCACCCATATCAAAGTACTGAATTCTCACATGTGCAACTAGGCAAATTATTGGATAATTTGTAATCATATTGGGAATAGCAAAAGCTAAAGAAGCTACTAATATTTTATGCTTTATTTCTTCAGAGAGTCTGTCCTAAGAGTATGTTCCTGGCTACCTTTTATCTGCTAGAAGTTGAGACCTGCAAGGACAGGCCACAACAGGGCATGGATCGAAGCAACCATAAAACCTCTCTGGCTTTTGGATGTTGGAGGACATAAGTCCCCAAAGAGTATGTTACTTTTGGTGAGGACCATGGTTGTCTCATTCCTTTTGTGACTCAGAAAGAAAGCTGTTTTCATAAGCAACAACTAACAGTCAAGTTGACAACCACCGGGACTTGAAGGAAGGTGGCATCTGGCCCCGCCACGGCTTCCTTTATGTTTGTCTGGGTATACAAAATGTGAGGTTGACCTTGTGTTTGTAGAAGGTGGACAAGTCAGAAGTAGTCGTTGCTTGCATTTTTAGGGTCCATTTAATGAAGCTTTGATAGGATTGGCCTGTCCTTGTAAAGATAAATATGTGGACTGTTGTCACATGGATGATGGGAGTACATGGAAACCAAGAAATAGCATCTTTTAGGGAGTCAGCAGCCCAGGTAAGCTGCAGCTAGTGAGGGTTCAAAGGGTGAAGAGAATTGAGAAAGGGTGGAAATGTTAACTGCTTCCATGCTTTATCTCACCACTTGTTACTTAGCTGTTATGTCTGATGTGCGTGCCAGAGTCCAGCAGTGTATTTGCTTGAGTATTCAACAAGCAAGTGTAAAATTCTGAGAGCGCTGCCTCCAGCTAGTGACCATTCCACAAAATGAGCTCTGTGGGATTAACCATGGACTCTTAAGACAAATGGCAGAAGTGATGGGAGAGGGCACAGGAGGGAGCCCAGTAACTTGCTACGTCCCAGGGATTTAAAGTAAGTGACCACCATAAGCACTGCAGGGACCATGGGTCAGATGGATGGTTCTTTATTAATAAGACAGTTCACAATCTGCTGCCAACTGTGTTATTGAAATTTCTTATCACAAATCACAACACTAAATCAAACTCAAGTGCACAAGAACACAATGCATTGCTGTGGAATCTTAACTAATGTCTAGAAGGCATTTATAAACAGGAGCCATACCTTTTTGCTTGAAGTGCACGGTGGTGCCAATTTCTAAAAGAGAGACATTTAGCGAAACAAAAACAAATAAAAATCTTTGTCAACTGAGAATAAACATGAGGGTAGTCTGTCACTCTCCTCTAAAGGAGAGTGAGCGGAAGGGGACAGGCAATAGGAGGAATGGCTGATAGAGACCGAGTGATAGGCGAGTGGAAAGAAACCTTTCTTCGACTAAATGAGCAATTAGTAGTTACAAAAAGTGATGCTACATGCTATGCGTATAGACAAGTACAAGGACTCCAGCATGGAGTGTAAATTTAGTCTTGACTGCATCTTATGTGACCATAGAATGTGTCTGATCTCCAGCCCTTCCCTGCCGTTTCGTCCCCATTAGTTGAACCTTATCTAAATCACTCCTTATCTAACAGGCAAGTTCCCTCACTCCAAACTCAAGCTTCACAGTTGCTGTGTCATCTACTAAAATATTCCTACATGTCTCTCTACTGTTGTGTTGTCTCAGTCACTCCAATCACATTGCTGTTGTAAACTCACCAATACAAGTGATGCTATCCCATCACTTTCCCAAAGCCAGTACTCATTCCTTTGCTGGCATCAGTCTAAGCAGCACTTAGCCCCTCCTGGCATTGCATGATGTCACACATTTACCCTCTGGCTTACAGTTTGTCTCCTCACTAAAACGCATGCCCACCCCCCCAGGGCATCCGCAGTGCATCGATCATTAAACATTGACTCTAGCACTCAGTGCAAACCATGAGATGTGGAAAGTTTCAGCAAACACCTGTTGCATGTGTCAATAAATGTCAAGGTTGAACGAGATCAGGTTTGCTAAATATCTGGATTTCTTTTTTAAGTGTCTTAACAAATAACTCAAAAGACTCTTGTACCTTTGTAAGTAAGCAAGTATAATTTTCTGTTTCAAGACAAACTAAATGATTGCTTAGATATGGAAACCCATGCTGGCTGTGAGGTCCACACTTTTTTTTTCTTCTGTTACCATCAGGACCCAGACCTGCATCCCTGAGTAACACAGGCTAGCAGAGAATGTAAAATGGCTAATGCCGGGCTGGAGAGATGGCTCAGCCGTTAAAGGCTAGGCTCACAACCAAAAATATAAAATGGCTAATGCCATAAGCCCACAGAGTTTTCTGCACAGAACATCTGTCATCTTATAGCCCTGCTTCCAATTTATTCTCAGGTTTTGTGACCTCCAGGGTAAAACCCAGTTCATAGCTTGATGTCTGTGTCTCTCCTTGTCACTCCTGGCCGTCTAGTCTCATAAACATCCCTCACATCACAGGCTTTCCTTTATGATCCCTGGACCACATTTCCTCCCCTGAAGTACTATGGTATCTATAGAAGAGTCTCCATTACCTTTCAGAAAGGGATTGTCACTTCCAGAGAGGAGCCTTTCTTGGTCTCTTTGAGGACATTGGTCTTGTTATTTCCTCCCACACTAGTCTCTCTCTTATATTTTTGGTTGTGAGCCTAGCCTTTAACGGCTGAGCTATCCCTCCAGCCCTAGTCTGTCTTAATTTCCAAAGTGTCTGATGCTTCAATAAATGCCTGACATCGTCCCTGGACTCTGAGTTCATGAAGTCTGTGGCTGTGTCTCTTACTACTTGATAGTCCAGCACACGGCAATCACTCAGAATGCACAATATTCCGAAACAGAATATCTAGAATCGTTGAAACACGAGACAAACAAACATGTTTGTCCCAAATGTTTCTCACCCAGAAAAACAGGGAATCCAATTTAGTGAAAAAGGCTCAGCTCTTTGAAACTAGGCCTGCAAAATCACCAAGGTTCAGGACAGCCTACTTATCTCCTTCCTTGCATGTGGTGATATATTGTTTATGATCTGATAAAGCATGCCAGGAGATCAGAACGCAAAGCTAGCCACAGCCATAGAAGCTGGGCAGTGGAGGCACACACCTTTAATGCCAGGACTCAGGAGACAAAGGAAAATGGATTTCTGTGGGTTCAAGGTCATCCTGGGGTTACACGAGAGTGAATCAGTCTAAAAGAGAAACAGAGCTCTTGCCTTTCATCCCAGCACTAGAGAGAATAAGGATCTCAGTGCAATATCAGAGAACAGTCTGAAACTTGGTGAGGAACAGTGCAGTCTGGAGATGCAATCTGAGGTTTGGTGGATCACCCCTTCACTCTGAGTATTGGTAGAGATGAGAGCTCTCTGGTGGCTTAACTGCTTTGCTTTTCTGATCGTCAGCTTGGACCCCAATATCTGTCTCTGGGTTTATATTATTTGTACTACACTTGCAGATTTTTCATCTGTCTACCCAAAGTACTCACAAGGAGAAGCCTTTAAACACTAAAACATTTTCTGGCATCATTATGACAGTTATCAAGAAGAGCTTGATTATCCCAGTGTCTGAAGGTTTTAAATGATTGGCCACGGCTCATCTTTAGCAAAGTTAATGTTAACCAACCTGTCCCTAAGTTTGTAGGTAGGATGGTTTCCCTGAACTGGTCAGTTCCAGAGGAAAAGGCTCGGAATGTTCTCTTATGTGATGACTGGTGCTGTTCACAGTGCACTTCTGAGTATGCCCAGAAACATCATCGCCTGTCTGACCCTTTTATATGTGAACAACACTGCCTGTAGACCGTCCAGTTGACAAAAGCATCACTCTGTAAATTCATATAGAAACACGGAGTAGATTTCTTCCTAGGAGCCAGCTGCTGATGCCAGTCACCCAACAGGTTCTAGACCCTGGAAGGGACCATCTTCAAGGGAAGACTTGTGGGTTTCCCTTTTATTTTCCCTTTGAAATCTGTTCCACAGGCTTTGAGGGAAGAAGTTCAAGCAGATGCTCAGGGAGGGACAGCGACTCTGCTTAAGCTAGGAAATGTATCTTAACCTTTCAATGCCCATGTTTTACCTTTTGTACATGATTTTAATGAACCTGCCATGCACCAATCTGTTCCCTGAATTAGATTACTGCTTAGTGTGCTATCCCTGCACCCAGAACACAATTGAATAACAGTGGTTGTTACTATTTTGTTGTGAATTCCTTTTCGAGAGGACTATCGATGCAATTTTTGTAGTGAAATAAAGACAACCTGATCAAAAAGTCATGAAAGTGTTCGTGTTAACAGTATGATGGGCAAAACTTTAGAGAATCCTAGCACATGCAAAACAGATAGGAAGGGGGATATTTAGGCAACACATTCTTTAGGATGCAATTGGAAATATGCTTGCAGGAACCAGCCACTGAGACAGGCTTGCGTGAGAAACTACATGTTCTGAATGAGTATGTTGGGGGAACAATTCCCCTCTTCTTCAATGAAAGAGAGACTTCAAGAACTATATCGAAACACTATCACATACTTTACTCTATGAAGCAACTATGCAAAAACACTTGAATGCGTATATAAGAGTGCTTGAAGTGTTTTTACAAGACAAACTAAATGTCCAGTTATATTTTAGATAGGCCTTCCTGTTTGGTTAAAAGTTGATTTCTTTGTAAAATAGTAAAGATCTATAAACTAACTTCTGACTTAATCTGTGAAAATGGGTTACACTCGTGATTTTTTGTGAACTATTTCTTACTCATCCTCTTTGGGATCAGATCAGTTTCTTTCTGAGGAAGAAAACTGGATGGTTTTGAGCTTGTTTGAAAACTTGGTTATGTGCTGCCATCTTGTGGTCACAGCAGGACATTTTCCTTGGTACTGTCAGAAGGCATCATTTCTGTCCACCAGGTGGCAGCAGTGAGAGAAATGACGTGTAGCTTCCCTACCGTTGGAGCTCTTGCAAAATGTTACTCTTTAAAAGAGGCGTCCCTGTTATTACAGATACGTTTTTAATCTGCTCCACAATGCCTGGAAATCATCCTTTTCCCTAGTGAAATGTGCTTTTATGTTCTTGACCAAAGCTGCGTTGCCAGGGACACGGTACCTGGAAGAATTCCCTGAACACACACTCGTGAGACTGTAAGCACAGTCTCTGACTTTTATGTCTTTCGTGAAAATTTCTCCCTACAGATTGATCTTGCTTCATAAAATATGTTAAACAAGCGATCATAAAGGTGCAGGTTAGAAGTATAAGCAGACATATCTGCAGTAAGTCAACGGACAAAATTTGCGGAGGAGTCTAGTACTGAGAGTGTTCCAGACATTCTCAGTGTTGTCAAATGCTGACTTTTTTTTGTTGTTGTTTTTTTCGAGACAGGGTTTCTCTGTGGTTTTGGAGGCTGTCCTGGAACTCGCTTGGTAGTCCAGGCTGGTCTCGAACTCACAGAGATCCGCCTGCCTCTGCCTCCCGAGTGCTGGAATTAAAGGCGTGCGCCACCAACGCCCGGCCAAATGCTGACTTTTTAACCTCCAGGAGGTGGCAGAAGGAAAAGAATTTAACACTAAGAGAGGGAGTGCTCGGAAAATTTTGTTTCTGCTTATTATGCTAATCTGCGTTTTGACTATCAGATTCTTTAAAAGTAGCTACACTAGAAAAACATTGCACCATCCAAAACACCAAAGAGCCTCTCTCTGGGCATGGACAAAGCATCCTGCTGCTTGTCATGTCTTCAAGGGGCTATTTCTCAAGCACCAAGTTAAGTATGTGGACATGTTTGCTAAACATCTCCCACCCCAGGGCACGAATGAGTTAGTGAATGGCTTGCTTAAGACCACAGGGACCAGCCCAGCTAAGGATCTAGCAAGGAGAAATAGTAGTGTCAAAACCACAATTCCTCAAACCCTAAGCAAGGGCGTCACTGGAGTTCAGTCATTTCAAGAACCGCATCAAGAGGTCCGCTGGGTTTGCTCTCATATCCTGGACAATAGAAAACGTTCTACACCAAGATTTATCTTAAAAAACAAAAACAAACAAACAAACAAAAACTTCATGTCCCATGAGCTGACACCCGTCAAAATAGAAACGTCTGTCAGAGGTCAGAAAATTTATTCTTCGTTTTATCTCTGGGATTTCACACTGGGACTGCTCTCTTCCTCTGGATTCTTTCTTGTCCTCTGTGATTTCTGCATACCCTCATCTCTTCTCCTAAAGTGAGGACCT